GTAGGCTCGTTGATGCACACCATCTGGGAGGACACTACGGACTACGGAGCTGGCTGTTCCCAGGGGTTTGGACCGAAAACCCCCTACGGCGCATCGCGGGGCCCTGGCCGTTCGGATTGGCTTGGTTTGCTGCTCCAGGAGCCGGGGAAACAACAGATTTCGACAAACCATTCAGATCCATTCAGGGGATTCACCCACTTTGGGAAAACGAACCATCAGCAAGCTTGTGATGTTCGATAAAACGCTTTCGATCGGGATAGATCCGCAGATCCGGTCGACTTGGGTTCTGGAAAGTAGAAGCTAGCAAAAGGGTGGAGGTGAGCTCAGCAGGTCAGCTCAGCAGGCTTCTTCTTCACTTCTTCACACACTGCACGTCAGGGACAGGTTCAACCATGGCTGTCACTTTGGTTCCATGACCATCCTCCAGGTCGCTCGGGCCCTGTCTTCATCCGAAGTCAGCAACCCGAAATGAAAGGGATCCATTCTCCGGCCCCGTCGTTGGGAACCACCGGACCCGGCCCTGTCGCCGAGGCTCAGGAGGACAGCTGCAGATCGCGCCATGTCAAGCACCTGCTGTCGCGATCGGCTCGGACGGCTCGGACGGAGAAGATGGCGCTGCGGCGAGAAGTTCGGGTCATCGGATCCCGGAACTGGACCAAACAAATGGTGCCAACATCTGGGCAGTTGGAACAGCTCGCCTTGTTCCTATCCACTGTTCAGCACGAAGTGCGCGTCTTTATTCACCAAAGGTGGACGATACTTGAGGCCAGAGGGGGTGAACGAAAGCTAGCCGGGCTTCCGGTGGTCTGCTGCTGGTGCTGCTGCTGCTGGTGCTGCTGCTGCCGCTGCTGCGCTGGGCGCTGCTGCGCTGGGTGCTCTGCAGGCGCCGGGTCGTCTGCTGCTGCTGCTGCTGCTGGCGCTGGGTGGTCTGCTGCGGCTGCTGCTGCCGCGGCGTTGGGTATGCTGCTGCTGCTGCTGCTGCCGCCGCTGGGTGGTCTGCTGCTGCTGCTGGTGCTGCTGCTGCTGCTGCCGCTGCTGCGCTGGGCGCTGCAGATGCTTGGTGTGCTGCAGCTGCTTGGTGGTCCCGCTCACCGCGCGCAGGGGGGAGTCGAACCGCGGGGGGGGGGGGGGGTCCATAAGATTGATTTAATCAATTATTTGAGGTTTCTGAGGTGCGTCCACCCCGTCACTTAACTTGCTAAAGCAAGAGCAACTCCAGCTAGCTAAGGCTAGCTTTCGTGACAATTAATGGCAGGATTTCCGGAACCCATAAGACCCTGCAAGAATAGTGGGGCATCCTCTTCAGGCACTCGTTCTTCCTTCATCCTGCCTTGACCGTCTTAAGGTCCGCAACTGAGGAGTTTACGATGGATCTGAGGATCCAAAGAGCTCCAACATTGGATTCAGAGAGCCAACACCTAAGGATTGGTTCGACCCCAAACCCCTCCATATGAGACGTCCGACCCCTCCATATGAGGGTCGCGTCTGGGTGGAACCAACACTGAAAGAACACCGACCTTGAGATCTTCGTCACCTCTCAGCAGCCACCCCGGTGTCACCGTCGTTGGGACAGATCGATACGTTATTGTCTCTCAGAAGGTTGGCACCCGGTAGCCACCCTGTGGCAACACACCGTATCGGTGCCACCATTCACCTCAAACGCTTGGAATAATATGAATAATGTTCTGCAGGATTTGTAGCAGGCCCAGATCCACTCCCTCGTGCTGAAAACCCGGGGCACTCGAAGGAATATCTCGCGGCAAGACGATGTTTGGAGCCAAAAACCCTGCGAGCAGTCTAGAGATAGATAGACAATAACTCCCACCCACTCTGAGCTCTTCTCACACACCATCACACACCTAGCTGGTCCTAGTCTTCTTAGGGTCTGGCATTGTCTAACAGTCCAATCTCCAAAGAAAAGGCCACACTTGATCTATTTTTTGAGGTGCCCTGTTCCATCCAGTCATATGGCCATCATGCAAAGATGAGAGAGGCCAAGCATGTTCTCAGCATGTTCTCTGCAAGTGTCTGTCCCGCGCAGTTTCGGACACCCTGAATGACCCTCAACGGACCTTTTCTCCGCAACTCGGCCGAACGTCTCCACCCACAGGCAAGCAGCCAACCAGATCATCTCCATAGTAAAGGCTATAAGCGCCTTTCTGCTTGATTCCATCAGGAATCGGGAACATGTTGACAATCATATCTTTGTAGTTTTCTGGAAGCCCCAAATCTGCCCAGTACATCACCTCGCCAATGAAGCTACCTTTTGGTCCAGGTGGTTCGCCTATTGAACATCAAAGGGAAAACAACATCCCTCAGGGATGTCTGTCGTCGTTTCCCATTTTTCTGGCCAGCCTCTCATCACCTGGCCCAGCTTCCGAAGGGTAGGCTTCTCAACGACCATCACGTCAATGGGGCATCACCTTCTATCCGAGGTTCTGGTAATTTCTTGTATCTACCATTCAATCAAATCTCTTCCACTTCATCTGCACTGGACTTGGGCAATCCTCTTCCCTTCGAGTTCCAGCTGATCAATCACCCGGTCCCCCCGAGCGAAGGAAATCGTTCCTGAGACCTGGCGAGCCAGGTCGTTGCCCCATCCCGTGCTCTTGCCACGACGGACCATCGCTTGTGCAATAGATCTTTTGATTCCAGCACTCTGCGGCCGACGTCGCCCCAGGATGGGTGGCAATCTGGAGCCAATGCTCCAGTTTGCGCTTCTTCAAGCTTTGATTGGTGTGAGCCTGCAGCAAAGATCGGGCCGCACCATGCCGAACTCGCTGTCATTGAAGCGCCACAAAGCCATAGAAGTAGGCCTGAAAGGAAGGGGAACATCCTAGCCCAAAGAACAACAGCTAGCTTAAACTTGTGCATGCAACTGACATCGAACTGCCCCCTAGCACGAGGAAACAACATGAAGTGTTGCAACCCCAAGTTGAAATGACACCCATGCCATTTGCCACATTTCACCGCATGGAATCCACCAAGACCCATGAATTCCTTTTGAATCCGAACTTCTGCAGCACACACCGTGCGGCACATGCCGGTGTGTAGTGTCAAGGTGCGAATTTGGCAGGGGTGAATCAGGTCTCCACTGCAAGAGTCAAAAAAAATAATATGGAACTACAACTATTCCATGATCCTGCTATCCTGGGTTTCAATGTGTATCCAGGGGTTTACACTTACTGTTTCCGGCCTTTTTGGTCCTGAAACGTCCTCAGTTCGCGACTCGATACAAATTGACACCCTCACGGATTGGCGCCATTCGGGAGGGGACGAATGATCTTGGTACAGTGAGGCATCGACTGCATCGACCGGTGAACCAAAAATCGACAGTCCTAATTTGTGTTTTTTGCGACCAGAACAGGGAAATATGCCATACTGGTTTTCCCACAAACAGCAGCATTCGCAGGGTTCGATCTACGGCAGCTCTGGATTTAAGAGGAAGAGGGGGAGGAGTAGTAGGAGTAGTAGTAGTAGTAGTAGTGGTAGTAGTAGTAGTAGTCGTCGTAGTAGTAGTAGTAGCGGCAGCAGCAGTCGTAGCAGAGTTCCAGGAATCAAGCAAAACTGCAAAACCTCTAAAGAGCTTAAGCAAGGAATTTAATGGAAAGTAGTTAGTAGCTGAACATAGAATCTATGTTTGTAAATAAACAAGACAAACCAAGAATGCAATATTCCGACCCCGGTAAACTATTTGGGGATTGGTCATACTTTTGGGAACACGTGATATGATTCCCTTCCCCCTGACTACTTGGAATTGAACATGATGCCCTCCCTTCGCTCCCTTAGCCCGGCGCGGGAAATTCGCCGCTCCGCACCTGACCGGGCCATTGACGGTGGAGGGACCGGGAGCCATCCGCAAACGTGAATGGAGGTCGAATGGAATTGGAATCCCAAACACGACCTGTTTGGGACTGCCATAGGACTGCCGATCAGGCCAGGGGTGGTGCCATGGGGGGTCAATGGGGCAGCATATATGGCAGTCCCATGGAGTGTCTGGGAATTGTGTCATGAATTGGCCTGTGCGGTCCGGAAAAGCAACAAATGTAGGCCTCTTGCGGGTGGGAACGTGGCCGTTGGATTTGGGGCAGGAAGCATCCAATGGGAATTATGTATATTAGGGTGGCTTACGGCGGACCTTGGGCTTGCTACAACTGCTACTGTCAAAAAGCAGTTTAAAACAGAAGACTCTCTCCAACTGCTGGAGATTCATGGGAGACTTTTTCACACTGCTCCGCCTCCGCCAGAGTCCATGCCATCTTTGGGCAGTCTCAACAGGGTGTCCTTTTAGAAGACCCTATCGGGAAAGCAATATTGTGTAAAGTTGCTGGATACAATCTGATGGCTGAGCCCAGCCAGCAAAGTGTGGTTGAACAAAAATCAGCAGGCCATCAGAAGAACATCACAAAACTAAACACCTGCGGAAACACGGCAACTTTGGTGTCAGCCTTCTTTCTTGCTCCGCTTTCCATCCAAGTACTCTTGCGCAATCTGGTTCATTTTGTGGATGTCATCCCAGCCATACCATGCTTTATTGAATCCGGCGGCCATCCCAGCACCCTGATTCTGCCCGGCCATCGAATGCGGGTCCTCTTGGATCTTGCCATACTGAGCTCCCGCGACCATGCGCTGTGGCTGCGGGGCTCCTGGTGGATACTTCATCCTGAGAAAGCATGAGAATGGATCGATCTGAATCTATATCATCTATGGATTGAGCAACCAACGGTGGAGGAGCTCAGATTTAAACAGACCGCATAATGGCATCCTTGCACTCAACAACTTTGGACATAGGCCATACTTTCGGGTAGTTGGTTCTCTAAGACAAGGAGAATCACATCCTGGTACAAGTAGCACCAATCAAATCCTGGTACATAGATCTACATAGGGGCTAATTATATATATATATACTTAAAACCATCTAAAAACCAAAATCACATTCTTCCGACAACTCTGCAATGTGCCCCACATTGATGGGGGCGAAAGGCACTGTCCATGCCATGCTACCGAGCTGTTTCATCCGCCGATCGATACCGGTCCCATCCAAGTCTCAGCTCTTCTTTTGCTTGCTCCACATCAGCAAAGACCTCAGTGAAGACCACACATCTTTGGTGACGCAGTGTTGTTTCTGGGGCTGAACGATGTGAGCATTCGGATTTCAGATGCACTCTCCAATCCCGTACTACCATGCTATGTACCACTTGCGCTGAGAACTGGTTGACATGGAAACATGGAATTAGAAGGCGTGAAGGATGTGGGAACGTTTGCTGAAAGGACAGTAGAATCCAGCCTTGCTGGGGTACTGACCCACTGTATGCAACGGTTCGTCCGTCAAAGAACTGGCTTAAAAACCTCTGTGACTGGTTAGTTGATCCCAAACAATCCATAGAAAACCGACTTTGTCCTCAACATCCTCAATAGGTTCAATAGGCCCATCAAGTTTCTCATCTCCTCACCTAGTCCCTTCCAAAATTTGGAAGCTGCGGTTCGGCATGCTGTTCACAGCCGAGACACCCCACGCACTGCGCCAAAGGCCACCGCCAGAAAGCACTGCTCACCCTCAGCAGCTGCTTTGCGGTCCTTGGCCTGTTGTAACAAGTAGTCCTGTGCGATCCTTAGATGGCTCTCTCCCAATGGCGGCCAACTCCGTGGTACTCATCCAGTGGGCAAACTGTTGACATAGTCTTCCGCCCATGTTCCACCGCAACCAGGTGATGTTGGGGAGTGCAAGTGAAGCAGTTTCACCCCATCTTTTGGTTGTGGGAGCTATATCAAGCAAAGCAACGAGTGATATCAAGCCTGGGTGATGGGATTTTGCTCCGTGCCACGACCTCCAAAAGAAAGGGAGAGTCGAAGATCTCTTCGTGTTTCCAGAGTTCAGAGTGTTGAACCTGAGATCTCAGTGTATACAACAAAATGGGTAGAGAACCTGTCTTGTGCAGGTCATGTGGCATTTTCCAAGGGACCCTTCGTCTTTTAGAATCCAGAATCCAGGTGCATTAAAGAAATCGTAGCACTTCAGCAACAACACTACAAACCATGATAATTCCTAACAACAATGGATGCATTCATTCATGTGGGTCTTGATCTGCAACGGATCTGTGTTGATTGGGATATGTTAATAATATATTGGGCTATCGAACACAACAACATCTTCCAAAAAGTTCTTCCCCTCAGGCTCCTTGGTTGTCTCACTCTGTGCACAAAAGTTCCTTTCTGCTCCACTCTCCCACTCTCTCTCTCTCTTTATTTTTACTCCAGTGATCGTGCTCCCAAACATCCCTTGCGCAGTGACCCAATCTACGGTGATTTTTTTCTGTCCTGATGTGGTCATCTTTGCTGGTTTGGTGGCTTCTCTGTTGCCTAGCTACCCCAATCCACCGAAAGTAAGGACCTTCTTGGGGACTCATTGCCAAGCATGCGATGGGGTGGAAAAAGACTTGATGAAATTGGCGGGTTGAATCCGGCTCGCTTCTTCCTTGATGACTCCCACATTTCGCCAAGTCTCTTGTTATACTCGTGGATGGTTGGCCAGCCCCACCATCTCTTGTCGAAGCCAGCCTCAGGCATCGCTAGCCGCTCCAAATCGCGGCTCCCTTCTTTGGGCGCCTACTTCCTTCACCCGTTTTCTATTTTTTTAGAAAGATCAGGTCGGTCTTTGATGCTTGCTGCGGAAAACCATACCTATAGACAGTGCTTGACGGAACAACTCCCTCGCCAATGCGGGCGCGGTAAAACTCCCTCGCCCCGAGCTACGGCTCCAACCACAAGGGGAAGGAAGGACTGGATAGGTCCGGCTGAAACCCCAACCACCAGCCAGATAATGAGTCGGTGCCTACCTTAAACCAGGATGCACCAGTAGGTAAGGATTGAAACCAGGCTTACGGTAAGCCAGCAATGGCTGATCAGGCTCGACCTTGCGCTCCTATCAGCTCCTTTCCGTTTAAAGCATACTAAACCTAACTGGACGCCGATGGAACGCCATTTACAATAGAAATCATATAGACACCATCAGCCACAGAGCTAAGCAGATCAAAGCAAACTGCCCCTGGTTTTCGGCAGCAGACTGAATCCGATCCTTTTGCGACAGAAACGCATATGATCCAAGTGTATCCAAGTGGCTTTCATTGCAGCTCCTTGGTTCTGCCCGGCAACAGTGTGCGGGTCCTCTTGCACCAACCCGTACTGGGCCGCGACGATGAAACGGTAGGGTTGCGCTGACTCCTTGAACCTCAGCGCAGGCCGCGGAAAAAGGCCGCGGCTTTCCACTGCCCGAACTGCCGCAGGTGATCTGGCCGCTGGCTTCATTGGGCCCCACAAACATATCCAACCAAATCTTCTTGGTTTTGACTTTCTGGTGCTCACACCAAACACGGGGCTCACTCAAATGATTCAGGACGGGTGTTCCATCATCCCAAACATCCGCAGGTCAGGGAGCTTGCTCAGTTCGGCCTTCGCCTTCTCCAAATCCAGGAAGACTCCCTTCACCGATCCGCCAGCCACCACAATGTAGCACTCTTCGAGCCTGGGAGGGCAAACATATGCAAAAAGCACAGGAAAGCGCCGCCTCAGCCAATGATACGTAGACTCTACGTAGACACTGCTTGAAAACTGCTTTGAGTCAATCCCCAAATCCCAGCGTTACCTCTTTACCTCCTCGGTCTTTCTCCCAGGTCTTCACAGTACACCGCCGCTTGGCAAAACCAACTTTTTGGTGCATGGAAACATTGCCATGCAAATGATGCAAATGCATCAAAGAGTATGCGAAGACGACCAATGTGCATGCTCAAAGCAAGACTTGAAGTCAGCCAAGGAGCGAGTCGTAGTCTGGTTCCTCCACTTTCGGCTGGATCACCTTCGTCACTTTTTTGGTCTCCACCTCCTCCCCAGCATGAAAACCATCCCTCTGGGCCGGCATGGTCCTGCAGATGATGCTGGCCCAAAGACTACTGCAAGGTTAACACGTGTTAAAACTTGGTACATAAAGTGTTTGGTCATGTGGTGGGAAACCAATGTTGAAACCTGAGGGTCTGAGGTAGCAAATCGCAACATAGTTCAGAATCACACATTTTTTTCAGCCTGGGGATCGTGAACTCAACAAGCCACAACTCCATGATGCACGACCCTGCCTGTGACATACTTGGATACAGTCGAAGATGTTGCAGAAATCATCGAATTCCATCCAAAATGCACCTTACATCTCGTCAGTCACTGCAACAAGTCGGATGATACAAACCACACAAGTCCGGCATGTCCGATTTGTTTGGAATCACCGGGGCGATCCAATACCAGATTCTATCGCACATGAACATGATCTGACCGCAAAACCAATGAACACCAATTGGTTGTCGCCATGGAGTGGGAAACCTCGTCCCTTCGGAGAATCCGTGTGGACCTGGGCTGAACTGCCGATAGGTTTTGATCTGTGTTGTGCATTGCTGTGCGAGTTCTTTTTGTACATCCCAAACTTAACCATCCATGTACCAAATAGTTATATACATGCATTCACTCCATTATTGATACTCCTATATAACCATTCGATACATTTCATGGTCTGGCTATGGACCGGGTCTTCCACATCCCCAAACTGCTTGAGCTTCAGTCTCAAGCAGTCAGACAGGCTGGATGATAAAAGGGTGCATCCAGAACTTCAGACCACACCGCAGAAAGGAAAACGCATCTCCATTTCTCGGCAGAAATTCGATCTCCGTCGTTTCTCCAAGTCTCCATCATTTTGATCCTCGTAGCCAACGGCCTTCGCAATCTCCGGGAAGGCCTCCCACTCTTCACTCTCGTCGGACCAGGCGCCGTTCCACTCGTGACCGTTGCCCCAGGGGTTCCTGCGGATAAGGTTAGTGAAAAGAGCGCGGGGTTGAAACAGCACGCAGGGGGGGAAGAAGCACAACATTTGGTTTGGCTGGTGCAAAAGGAAGGTGGAGGGTGCTTGAGTGGATCCAAAATGGAAGCATCAAAGAAGCCCCATGTTTTTGTTGTGTACCCAAGAGTCAGCCTGAAAGAAATAGTCATACACAGTTGTATAGAAGGTGGCACAAGTCCACAAGCAAATGGGCAACCCGTCAAATACGCAAGCTCTTCTATCATATATCATATATATGTGTACATTTTTTTAAACAATGTGGACACACTTATAGGGGTTCTTAGGGTAATAATTATAAGCAGCTGTGCTTAGATCGCTGTGCCGCGAGGGCGTGTCCGGTCAATTCGCTGCTATTTACAGTACATTCATGCCTCTCGAAATCGTCAACGTGTCTTTCGACTGCGCAGGCTCGCAGAATCTGGGTGTCCGCGGCGGGTGTTTCTAACGACTGCACTTTCGTTGTGGTGCCGTGCGCATTTTCGCACATGGTATGGTGGTCACTTTGCCTGGCAGGGGAAGAAACCTCGTGTTTTGGTGGTCTAAAGTCGACTTTTCGTGACAGCAAGGGATGATCGGAGCGGTTTTACTTTGAAATGCAGATTCCGTGGCATGCGCAGCACTTTGGACATGGTGGTGATCTTTGACGAGCTCTGCTTCGTGACAGGTGCAGTGTATCGGGACTTTTGGACATGTGGCTCCTTTGCAGGTTTCGTGGCAGGTACAGCACTTTGTGAGCCTCGAAGTGCAGATTTCGTGGCAGCACTGACTTCAGTGTGTTGGCAATCCCGGGTGACTTTCCTCTGAAGACATGAAGCCTTGAAGCCTTGAAACCCTGCTGACGCCCTGACGCCTTGAAGCCTTGAAGCCCTGGTGCCCTGGCTCCTTGAAGACCTGAAGCCTTGAAGACCTGAAGCCTGGTGACGACCTGAAGCCTACTGACGACCTGAAGCCGAGTGACGACCTGAGGCCTGGTGACGACCTGAAGCCTTGAAGACCTGAAGCCGAGTGACGACCTGAAGCCTAGTGACGACCTGAAGCCTTGAAGACCTGAAGCCTTGACGACCTGAAGCCTAGTGACGACCTGAAGCCTAGTGACCTAGTGAAGGCCAGAAGCCTAGTGACGACCTGAAGCCTAGTGACGACCTGAAGCCTAGTGACCTTGAAGCCTTGAAGACCTGAAACGACCTGAAGCCTTGAAGACCTGAAGCCTCTTCGTGTCTTCGGGTCTTCGCGTCTTCGTGTCTTCGCGTGTCTTCGTATCTTCGTGTCTTCGTGTGTCTTCGTGTCTTTGCGTGTCCTCGCGTCTTCGCGCGTCTTCGTGTCTTCGTGTCTTCGCGCAAAAGTCACAACCCGCTTCTGCCAATGCAATGACTTTGTCAGCCTCGAAGTGCAGAGATTGTGGCAGGCGCAGCACTTTGTGCAATCTCACTTTCACTCGCTCACTCTCACTCTCACTCTCACTCACTCCCTCACTCTCACTCTCACTCTCACTCACTCTCACTCTCACTCTCACTCTCGCTCACTCACTCACTCTCGCTCACTCACTCACTCTCGC